CAGCTAAATTTTATTTTAACTATGATGTTTTGTCTAAATGTGATCTTTGCAGATTATATTTAAAACTAATTATGTTTCTTACCTGAAATCAATGTATTTGCGTTGTGTTCTGTCAAAACTAATTGAGTCATATTCTAAATGTTTCCAGGCTGAATTCTTCTTTCTGCATCTTTGTTATCTTTGTTTCCTGCAGAACATAATTTGTAATATAATTCAAATCAGTACATCAGTAATTAAATTTGACATATATAGATATATCCAAAGAAAGAAAGATATAATTCAAATTGGTAATAGTACCTGTATCCAAAGAAATGCTTCTTCCTGCTTCATAGAAATTAAAATTATAATAAGTTATTTCACTGTGATATTTGGAGAATATCTAGATGTAAGAAATATTCAAATTAAAATTCACCTATAATCTCTGTATCCATAGAAATGCTTCTCCCTGCTTGTCCATTATCTTTGTTTCCTGCAAAAAACAAAAGGTTTAAAACACAAGAATATAATTTGCAGTGAACTAATACTAGAATTACAGTCATTTTTATATGTAATTTTATTTTGAAGGGAGAAGCATTGATTTGTGCTTGTATTTTAAAGTTTTAGGCCAGTGATGAATCTCTATTTAGTATTAGTTTCAACGAAAATATCTTTTTTGCCAACTCTGAAATTTATCTTTATATCAAATATCAATTTTTTTCTATTGTCCTCTGCACTGTTTGTTTACTTGTCTAAGAGCACCAATAATAAAGAAAATCTTCTCACCAGCATAGGTGAATTTTTTCCCTTCGCTTGTCAAGCACCTTTTTACCTTTGCTTTTCCCAAAATTAGTCTATCATCCTTGTACTTCAAATTAACATCTGTAAAGCAAAATAATCTAGTATACTAGCTTCTTTTTGTTTTTATATATGCTAATTTGAAGTGCAAGAATTATATACTAGTTTTTGAGAATGGTACATGTAAAAAGGTGCTTGACAATCTGCAGCTAACTAATTCTTTTGAGCTTGCAAAATTGATAAAAATTTTGCCTATGTGAATATTGAAAAGAATTATAGTCTAATACTAAGAAATGTCCATTTTTTTTGTACTAATTGAAGTGGACAATGTCTGAGGCCATATATATGATCTTTTTTTTGGTTTTTGTATACCTTTTTTTGTGTCTAAAGAAATGGTTCTCCCTGATTGTCCATTATCTTTGTTTCCTGCAAAAAAACAGAAGGTTTAAAACACAAGATTATAAATTACAGTGAACTAATACTAGAATTACATTTATTTTTATATGTAATTTTATTACTATTTAACTGTAATTTGTTTCAATTTGCTGATTTCAGATTTGTTTCAATTTTATTACTTTTTTTTCAGATTTGTTGTATAGTCCTTATAATGTTGTAATGAATAGTAATAAAATTTGGTTTTAGTTGTTGATTTCATATGAAATATGTACTGCTTCTAGAAGTTACATGTTTGTTGAACTAAATTTACAGTCTTCATTTTATGTAATTTTATAAATATTTGACTGTAACTAGTTTGTATATTGATTTGTAGACAAATATGTCAAAATTAAGACCATTATTTGTTCTTTTGAATATACTGCTATCATGCAAATACACAATTTCACTCTATGATAATTGGTGATTTCTGAAATATTTGAAATGAAACAAAAATAAAAGTCAAGTATGAAGAATACATACCTTTGGAAGTGTCTTTTGATTTTACTTTTTCATTTGCCTCCATTTCCTGTATGCTTGAAGTACCGATGACTTGTTCTATGCTTGATGAATCTGAAACCATTTCAATTTGAAAATAAAACTGCCTTAGATCATGCTTTTGTTAGAATTTGTACAGTGTTTCCTGCAGTTACATGCATATTGAACTAAAATTACAGTGTTCTTTTGTATGTATTTTTATTATTCTTTCACTGTAACTTGTTTGAAAATTGTTAAATGACTGAAAATAATGTAAGCAAATCTTAATTTTGCTTCTCATCAGGCAAGAAAATAATTTATACCTGTTATTCTTTCTTGTCTATTCACTTTGGTGGTGTATTCCTTGTGAAATTCTTCTGCATTTGCTTGAACTTGAGTCATATCTGCACAATCATTGACATTACATTCAGATTGACTTTATGAGTTCATATTAGAACATATTCAGAATATTCACCATTCTGAAAATTTCAATGATTTGCCCAGTTCTAAATTGACAGTTACAGTGATTTGCCCAATTTACTTAGAGTTGTCAAATTTACTTTCAGATTGACTCTATTGAGTTCATATTAGATTTTGTATATTGATTTCTAGACATATATCACAAAATTAAGACCATTATTTGTTCTTTTTTTAATATGCTCCTACCACATGCAAATACACAATATCACTCTATGATAGTTGGTGATTTCTGAAACTTGTTTGTATATTGATTACTATACAAATATCTGAATGTTAAAACCATTAAGACTATGCAAATACACAATATCACTCTGTGATAGTTGGTGATTTCTGAAATCTTTCAAATGAAACAAAAATAAAAGTGAATTTTAAAGAATGCATACCTTTGGAATTGTTTTCTGATATTATTTGTTTTCTTTTCTGCTTTTCTTCTATGTTTGAAGTTCTGATGAGCTGTTCTTTGCTTTTTGAATTTGAAACTATTTCAATTTGAAAATAAAATTGCCTTAGATCATGCTTTTGTTTGTTTTTGTATAGTATTTCGTGTAGTTACATTGATATTGAACTAAAATTACAGTGTCGTTTCTATGTATTTTTTATACTGTTTCACTGTAACTAGTTTGCAAATTGGAAATTGACAGAAGAAATTAATCATTGGACAATCCACTTTTTTGCCAGATGATGATAAACATAAATTCAATTAAGCAAATCTTAATTCTGCATGTCATCAGGCAAGAAAATAAATCATCCCAATTGAAAATTAATTTAATTTCTTGTCTGATGAAATGCAGAGTTTTGATGTGTTTTTGTACATATCTGATGTCATTTCCTTTTTTTAAAAAAAGTTTGCAAGTAAACTTCTTATGATTAGTAATCTATTTCATTGACTTCATTTTATACCTGTTCTTGATTCATGTTTGTTCACTTTGGTGGTGTATTCCTTGTGAATTCTTTCTGCTATTGCTGGATTTGAGTCATATATGCAGAAACATTAATATTACATTCAGATTGACTTTATGATTTCATATTAGAACATATTCTGACTATTCACCATTTTGAAATTTTCATTGATTTGCCCAGTTCTAAATTTACTTATAGTTGTCAGATTGATTTTCAGATTGACTCTATTAAGTTCATATTAGATTTTGAATATTGATTTCTAGACATATATAAGAAAATTAATACCATTATGTGCTCTGTTTTGAATATGCTCCTACCATTCAAAATAAAAGTCAAGTATGATGAATACAAACCTTTGGAAGTGTCTTTTGATTTTACTTGTTCATTTGTCTCCATTTCTTGTATGCTGGAAGTACCGATGACCTGTTCTGTGCTTGATGAATCTGAAACCATTTCAATTTGAAAATAAAACTGCCTTAGATCATGCTTCTGTTAGAATTTGTACAGTATTTCCTGCAGTTACATGCATATTGAACTAAAATTACAGTGTTCTTTTGTATGCATTTTTATTATTCTTTCTCTGTAACTAGTTTGAAAATTGGTAATTGACTGAAAATAATGTAAGCAAATCTTAATTTTGCTTCTCATCAGGCAAGAAAATAATTTATACCTGTTCTTGATTCTTTTCTGATCACTTTGGTGGTGTATTTCTTGTGAAATTCTTCTGCATTTGCTGGAACTTGAGTCATATATGCACAATCATTGACAGTACATTCAGATTGACTCTATGAGTTCATATTAGAACAGATTCATACTATTTACCATTCTGAAAATTTCAGTGATTTGCCCAGTTCTAAAATGACAGTTACAATGATTTGCCCAATTTACTTACAGTGGTCAGATTTACTTTCAGATTGACTCTATTTAGTTCATATTAGAACAGATTCATTTTTTTAAGATCTAATCAGTTTCTACATTTCTAACCTCATTAACTTTTCTTTACAGATCTGATCAAACAAATTCCAAAAGAAGAATCAAATTCTGAAAAGAACCAAGCAGGTAATATTTGGAGAATTTTTCTGTTCACTCACCTTTGTTCTTCTTGGACTTGTCTTTTGTGCTCTTTCTGCTCTTCGATTCTTCTTTTTGGAGTTCTTTGGATTGACCTTTAGTACCAGTTTCTTTGATATATTTGATATTCTTTCCTGACATTTCCTTCTTTTCTGAACCTTGATCTTTTCCTAAGCCTATCTTTCTCTTCTTGATCTCTGCTGAATTCATCTTGATTTTGGATTGATGTTTTGGGGGATCTTTCTCTTCCTCTAGCTCCATCTCCCTAGTATAATCTGGATTGTTGCAGCGTGTGTTGTGTGATCTCTTCGGAAAGAGGTGGTCCTAGTTGTGATCCCGATCTGTAATAGTTAGCTGTCATCACGTGCCCATCAACTTGGATTGCAAGCTTTCTAAATATGTTTGTTCTGTGGGCTCTGTTTGATCATGTGCCTTTGTCTCTGTTTTTCTAGCGACCATTTTTAGACTTTATTTTGGGCTTGTCAATTTTTTTTAAGACAGATGGGCTTTTTTGGCCTGTATTGGTCTAAAAAAATAAATCTAGACTTTTATAATATGTTATTGTAGCAGTTTTTGTGAGCTATTAGATGTAAATCGTGTGGTACAGAAATCTGACTGAAATAGGACACAAAAAACATGCGACTGCAGTATAGACAGTCCCTAAACAATATATTGGAACCCATTGCTGCGGTTGGCTATAAATCGGTAGCCCGACTGGCTACAAATCTGTAGCCCGCTTTTCTTCTCTCTTCTCTTCTCTACGTGGAGCTTACAAGTGACAGATACTATTTAAATACCTCTAAATCGAGGGGGGTGGGTTTACTTATTGAAACTGAATAGAAAAAGGAAAAAAAGAAAACCGCACCGACCGATCCAAGTCCAACCCACCACCGTCCAGTCCGCCTCGATCCCGAGGATCTCCTTCCCAAAGCATCCCTGATTCCTTCCCAAACGCCTAAACCCCACCACCGCCACCGCCCATGGCCGACGGCGCCAGCGCGAACCCCGGCGACCCGCCCTCGCCGGCCTCGGCGAGGTCGGGGCAGCGGAAGCACGTCCCCGACTGGCTCAACAGCCCGATCTGGTCCGCGCCTCCCCCTCCCGCGCGCCACCGCGCCCCGTCCCCTCCCCGCCCGCCCCCGCCTCCCCCTCCTCCCACGCAGCCCGCACCTCCCCCGCGCCGCCGCCCGGAGCGGCGGAGGCGGAGGCTCCGACGACGGCAGCGACGGCGACGACGAGGGCCCGCGAGCTCGTCGCGGGCCCCACCTCGTCCCGGAGTTCACGGTCGCGGTTAGTTTCTCTTCTTCTTCTTCTTCTGATCGGGCAGGGGATTTTAGCTTTTTGATCGCGTGTTCTCGCTCGTTCTCGGATTTGGCGGCGCGCAATTGCAGCTGGGCAGGAAGGTGGTGGATCTGGCTGAGCTGCGGAGGCTCGCGTGCCAGGGCGTGCCCGACGCCGCCGGCGTGCGCCCCGTCGTCTGGAAGGTATGGTGGAATCGTCTTGCCTTCTTCTTATTTTACTACTCTTATTACTTCACTATACTTCACTGTGTGTCACCATGCTAGAGTAAAATGGGTATTACGAATACTAGGATTTCGCTTCGTCACAGCTCATGGATGCTGTCCTTGCATTGGATTCATTTGTTTTTTGGAAAGCCGTAGACAACCCATAAATGATGGAATTTAGGATGGATGGGGGTTTGGCGTGATTTGATTCGGATCAATCATATGGTTTGGTGTTGATACTTGATACATGGTTTATGCTGCACGCAAGGATTAGGAGCATTTTTTTTTACCTTGGTCTTTTGAGATATCATGGAGTGTGTTCGGGGAATGCGGTTTCAGTTATATCTATTCTGAAGTGAATGGGTCTCTAATCAAGTTTTTGTTTCATTGAAATGTTTGGATTTCTCTAGGTTCTTAAGATGTTTTATTCCCATACATTCAGTTTTTAAGGACCAAACTATACGATTGCCATGAGGCCATGATTCATAAAGATAAGTTCTTACTAGTTTCAGCAAACTGCTTTGAAGCCAGTGGTAGAATTTCATACGCTCTATAATTGTGCATTAGGATTACAAACAACTGCTCATGGCATTATTTTTGTTAGTTGAATAAATTTAGGAGAAATCAGGATTCGTAATTGACAAATAGAATATGATTTGTAGTTTGTAAATATGTATACAAGCATTTAGTGATTTGAGCAGAGCATTATTACACTGAAAGCCTTTCAGTATTTTTTGTGTTACATGTCATTGCACAACTTAATTTCAACTGACATAATTTTATATATGAAGAGAACTGTTGTAGTAGGATTAAGCTAAATGATATTATGGAATTCACTGCAAGAATTTTAGGTTAAATAGCTATGAATGTGACTAAATTTAGACTGGCTTACAATGTACAAATCTTTAATCTTTCTCCTTGTTTGCTACACTACAAATTTATTTGACTTGTTTGATAGTTAGCAGCTTCTATTGGGATACTTGCCGACTGATCATGCGCTGTGGGCATATGAACTGGAGAAAAAGCGGTCCCAATACAGTGCTTTCAAAGACGAGCTTCTAGTTAATCCTGTAAGTTCTTTATCCATATGATGATTTCAGTTCTGAACCATTGGCTGGTATGTGGTTACATTGTCTGTATTGATAGCAATTGTTAGCATTATGAGAGATGGACATACAAGTCAGAAACTATGTGCCCTGATTTAAAACTAGTAATTTAGACCAGATAGTGATTCCACGGGGATATGCTAAAGTATTTTATTGTGGTACCAACTTGTTTTACATCTTAACAATTTCATTTGGTAGTTTTCTCCTTTTAAGAAAGATACATAATAATATGTTTTGGTTATGGTCAGTCAGAAGTTACTCGAAGAATGGAGGAAATGACTATATCCAAAGGGAACAGACATAATTCTGAAGGAACTGGAGTGCTTCCAAGGGCAGAAATTGTCCATGATGAACATCCTCTAAGCCTCGGGAAAACTAGTGTCTGGAACCAATTTTTCCAGGTAATGTTCACTAAATCGTAAATTTATGTACTGCCACATGTTAAGTCTGTATTTTGCTTTGGTTCAATTTGATGGTAGAACTTTCAACTCCTTGATATTGAGAGATCTCCCTTGGTCCCTTTGCAGCTCTTCGTTGAATTTTTGTAATGAATATATTGTACAGTATAGTGTTTGAGCTACTAAAAATATACACTGTTATTTGATACTTCAGGAATCTGAAACTATAGAGCAGATTGATAGAGATGTTAAGCGTACTCATCCTGAGATGCAATTTTTCAATGGGGATTCTTCTGATGCCTTGTCTAATCAAGTAAGCATTTATTATCTGATATGATGCCAGTTCTTTTTGTCTTTTGTAATGTCCAGTTAGGCTAAATGTGATATATGTTTGTCTTCAGGAGTCGCTAAAGCGTATACTTACCATATTTGCAAAATTAAATCCGGGTATAAGATATGTACAAGGAATGAATGAAGTTTTGGCACCACTCTACTATGTTTTCAAGAATGATCCAGAAGAAAATAATGCTGTAAGTGTTTTTTTTTCCCATGACGCTATTTGCTTAAAATTGTTGAACGTTGGTTCGTATGTAAGTTCCTTGGCTTTAAGGCTTAAATATATGTGGTAGATTTCTTCTATACAGATTTCCTGAATTCATTCACTGGTAAGTGGTTCCCTGCCTGTTGGAACCATGTATCATGTACTTTATCTGACTTTGGTATACTGCCTAAGTGACTATTATTCATTCTTTTTTCTTCTGAAGTTACCAAAGTAGAAACATTTCACTACTATTGTTAGATAGCTTTACCATGTACCTTATTTTTTATTATGCAAGTATGGCTGCTAGATGGGTGATGACCGGAGAGAAACAATGATGTTATCTATAGAATACAAGCATCGGCTAACTCTGTGCCCATACACCTTTTAATTTCTTATGTAAACAGGAGTCAGCAGAGCCGGATGCATTTTTCTGTTTCGTTGAGCTGCTTAGTGGATTTCGGGATAACTTTTGCAAACAGCTTGACAACAGTGTGGTGGGCATACGCTCCACAATCAGCAAGTTATCCCAGCTCCTGAAAAGGCACGATGAAGAGCTCTGGCGGCATTTAGAGGTTGTGACCAAGGTATGCATTTCAATAACTTTTTTCTTGTTACATTTTTACAGTGTATTTCTGCTCCTACTCTAATGCTTTGTATATTCCAGGTTAATCCACAGTTTTACGCATTCAGATGGATCACCTTGCTATTGACGCAGGAATTCAAGTTTCGCGACTGCATCCATATATGGGATGCACTGTTAGGTGATCCTGAGGGACCTCAGGTTAGAAACTGCCATTCCTAGTTCCATGCCATCTGAGAATTTTTTGAAATGCACTATAAAACTCTTATTATCTTATTGCAGGCCACCTTACTTCGAATCTGTTGTGCTATGCTAATTCTTGTTCGAAGGCGGCTCTTGGCCGGGGATTTCACAGCAAACCTAAAGCTTCTCCAGAGCTATCCACCCACAAACATTGACCACCTCTTACATATCGCTAACAAACTGCGAGGGCCTATTCCCTACTGATTGATTATCTTTTGTTTCTCATGTTTGTTCTTATATGTTAGTTTGCAATGTTCAAATATGTTTGTAAATGATTCTCCCATGCCCTATGTGATTGGATGGTTGATTTAAAGCATCGGTTCTCATATAGAGTGGAGTATACCTTTTGGAGCATACTGTTTGTCTTCTTGATAGTTGGTATTAGTTGTCAGACACTAATTTAGGTCACATAGACGCCTTTTATATAGATGTTAACGAATACGCTCTTTTTGGATGTCTTGCGAGATCCCAGCTAAAGCAAACGACCAGCGGACAAGCATCCTATCTCCTTTTCTAGATAAAATGGAATGAACGCATCCTATCTCCTTTCCTAGATAAAAAGGGAAAAAAAGAGCTTATGCCCCCATGCATTCCTGATTAAAGATAGTTTCTGATTAAGATATATATCCAATTTTGATTTTCGTTTAAATTACTAAAAGATGTCTTTTCTAAAACATTTTATCATGTTCTAAAATATTAGGTAAATCAATTTTTAATATAAAATAATTAAAAATCAATTAATGATATCATCCGCTAATAGTTTTCTCGTTTTCTCCTTTTATGTGTCTAACACGTAATCTTCATCACATTACAACCGAACGGGGCCGAGTGATAAGAATAGTAACAAAAAAGTTTTAAAAAAAAGGAGAGAGTTTCCAGCTTCTTTATCACGTTACAACCGAACGGGGCCGAGTGATAAGAATAATAACAAAAAAAGTTTACCAGAAGGAGAGGGCAAGTTAGATATACTACCTCCGTTTTTTAAATAGATGACATCATTGATTTTTTTCTCACATGTTTGACCATTCGTCTTATTCAAAATATTTAAATAAATATATTTTCTTTTGTCATGGTTTAATTTATCACTAAATGAACTTTAAGCATGACTAATATTTTTAAAATTTGTACAAAATTTTTGAATAAGAGGAACAGTCAAAGGTTGTAACAAAAGTCAACGGCGTCATATATTAAAAAACGGAGGGATTATATCAAACAAGTGGAGTGCTGTTTCAGGAAACGAACTACTATCATTTTCTCGCAAGAGCAACACAAAAGGGCATTTACCACTGGCATTACAAGTTATAACTTAACAAGGAGACATGAATAATGAATCTGATTAGGCAAAAATATGGTTTCTTGATATAGCAAGTTCTCAAGTTGTAACAAATATTTCTATCTTATAAGTTGATAAATAAATGCCGATGCTGTTCTCTACACTCCCTGTGTCGTGCCAGACCAGATCATATCACTCCACCAATGCAAGGAAATAATACTCTTCAAGGGGCTCTCGAACATAAACAACCCAAGGGTCAGCAGAAAGTCCACCTAATGTTGGGGAAGGCCAAAACATTAGCTATCAACAACAGCAGATCAGCTTCTTTCTTGGTAGACCAAAAAACTTGTGTAAGCAGAATGCCGACACCGGTTAAGGCCCAATGCGAGTTCTCACAGAGCTCCAAACCAAAATTATTGCTACCACTGGAGGCCGTGATATGCTGGCAAAATTCATCAGGAGTACGCAGCTATGATTCTCTAACATATAAGGGATACTGATGTTCAAACAGAAGCTTTTGTCAGCCACTAGCCACAAAAAGTACTTGTGCCGGTACTATGTTGTTCTACTCAGCGCTTTTCTTGCTCCGGAAATTCTTTTGCATCTCTGCAACCTTTTTCTTGCACTGCACCATGGTTTTACCTGGGACAGCGGCAGCCACACGCTCCCATCTTTGGCTTGCATCCTTAGGAAATGCCTTCAAAGCTTGTACAAGAGCCAGCACTTGCGCCTCTGACCAAGCCTCTGGATCTGCTGTTCCAGAAGGTGTTCCATTTGATACAGGAGCAGGAGCAGGAGCAGCAGCTTTCTCGTCGGATGTTTTACTGCTTGCATGTTGTGCAGGCGCTTTGGATGATGCATTTCCAGCTGCTTTCTCAGTAGGCAAACCAACTGTTTCAGTTCTTACAGAAAGAGGTGATGCAATGGACGGTGCTGGCTTGCGTTTCTCAAGGAAAGAGTCAAAAGCTTTGGTAGAGTCCGGTTTCTGCAAAAGAACAGTCTTTGTAGCCTTCAGAATTTCTTCAACAGATCTTCCAGTTCCAATAAACTCAGAGACAACCTCCCACCTCCGGGAGGTTCCCTTTGGATACTTTTGTATTGCTTTCCTAAGCAACTCGATCTCTTCCCTTCCCCATGGTTTCTCTTCTTTCTTCTCATAGTTGCTTAGTGTATTGCCTTGCGTGACCTTCTCACCTGAAGAGGTGGATTTTGCTTTGGAACCATCCACGCCGTTTGCTTGAATTTTCTTTCCTTCATTTGAAGTACCAGACGAGCCTTCTTTGCTCAGAGCACCACTGAGTAATCTGGCCTTTTCTGTTGTATCTTTGTTCTCCATGCTATCACAGAGCTTCTTCAGTCGTTCCATATCAAGTGACGAGCATGCTGTTTCGACATCATCTTCTGACAGAGAAAAGTGGCTCTCTGCAACTACCGGTGCAACAAGATTGCGCAGACGGGTTTTCTCTTTGCGTAGCAGCTTCTTCTCCTTCTCCTTCAACTTTTTCTGATTGAGAGCAGCCTCTGCAGCTCTCTTTGCTTCCTCTTCT